TATATATATATATATATATATGTGTGTGTGTGTGTGTGTCTGTGTGTGTGTGTGTGTGTGTGTGAAAATGCTGCCTTATCAGTATTTACACTAAAATAAATTTAATTGGCTTTTTTAAATAGAAGGAAAGTTAAATGTGTATGGTTGATTGGCTTGTTATCATTCATAAATATAATTGTTTAGATTAATAAATATTACTGTATTCATAAATAGAGTAGAATTATTCATAAATAAGTATTTGGTTTTAACAGAACTCAAGTAAAGTACAGATTCCCCAACATAATACTTAAATATAGAAGTGAAGTACTATTGCTCAAATACTTTACAACTCTGGTGAATAAAGACCCATAAGAGGTGACTGGAATGCCATTGTTCTATGCTTTTATAGGATGCAGACATTATATCTTAATCTCCTTTTGTTCAGGTGCATAATTCATCTGTGACCTGATCTGTAAAGGTTCCTTGGAAGATAAAGAGGCATGTATTTGTTACACAAACTTTGTTATGGAGATGGGAATTCTTTTCTTAAATATGATGCATCATATCCACATTCTGGCGTGACAGTCATGTTGTTTTTGTTCACTTTCATTTTAAAAACAATTAATCATGAACCATTGAAAGAGGAATTTTTGGGGGGATTTATTACTATTAGATTAATTAGCAATTATTGTTTTTGTCTTTTGCCTGTCTCTTTTTCAGCTCTATGGGAATATTTGGTTCTCTGTGGCTGATTTGATTATATTGACACAGTTCCGTTTCTTGTCTCAGGAAATGAAACACATGTCATGTCAACACAAAAACTACCTGCATATTTATGATGTTTTGGACAAAACGTAAGTGTTACGAGACATTAAAGCCTTTCTCACCATAGTTGGGTAAACAGTGGTGAATAAGAGACTACAGCAAAACATTTTCCATAAGAATGAAAATGACCACATTACAGATAGAGAAGGATTTATTAGTTACAAGAAATTACATATCCACCCTAGATGATGGCTAAGTCCTCTACGGTATGTGAATATAATCTGTCATGCAGCACTGAGTTGAATGGGTGACTATAAAGTATTATGCACTGCTGTGGAAATATATTAGACAATTTCCTAGGAAATCTCTTTAAATGGTCTCCAAGATGCTGGTACCTGTGTGTGTTTTCAGGTCATGCTTGCGTTCCTGGCTAGAGCAGGATATGTCATGTCCCACATAGGATGTCTGTAAATTTAAGTGGCAGTCATACCAGAAATGAGCAGGAGGGGGCATCACTGTCACTCAGTTCGGGCCCAACTGCTGTGGCAAATACAAACAGAGCTCCACAGTCACCTCTTCCATTTTCATGGTACACTGAAAATATCCACTTTGCATAGTTAGAAACTACATTGCATGAATTGTTTTCTGTTGAAATAGTTACCATATTATGCCATACAATAATTAGCAAAAAAATGTTTTGTTCATTTCCTTTGGCCACAGGTGTATTGCACAGATAATTAGAAAATTCACATTTTTATCTGATTGCCATTATCCATTTACTGGTTTTCAGGTACACCAAGAAGAAGAGATGTTTCATCAGGTAGACCTACCAGAGTAGTCAATTCTAAAGGTTCGAAATGAATTAAGAAGAATGTGCCACTGACTGCATTTCTCAGTGCCTCTCTTGACAGCTCACTGAGACCTGAGCTAGTAAAAAAAAAGAATGAAACAGTCAGTTCAAGTTGTTTGATGGCAAATACATTTGAAGGAAGTCTGTGGAAGTACAAGACTTGTGTCTTGTGACACAAGTGCAAAAAGTGTGTATTAACACTATAAGGCATAGTCTGCCTTTCCCTTTGAATTTCTTGATGGCACTGTTAATGACAAGTGTAAGTAAAAATGCATTGTTTATTATATATATATAAGCTCTAGCAGAATAACTGAAGAAATTATTTTCTTCATAAAAACAGCTGCCTCTTATAGTTGCAACATGCAATTAGCCAAGTGTGAGCAAATGTGCTTCCTTGTGTGTTTTTTCTTTCTCTCTGAAAATCAATTTGTGTCTATATCAAGCTAGGATGGCTTTAGTGTGATGGATTTGTAAGTTGACATTTGTCACACATTTAAGCTCAAGTTCTGCTGTAGACCTTTTTTTAAATTATTATTATTATTTTTTTTTTTTTTTTTTTTTTTGAAAGATAATCAGCATGATACATTGTGGTTTTGCATTATCTATTAATTTTATTTTTTATTTTTTTACTTTAATAAAGCTTTAATTAAGCTTTAATAAGTCAAACTTTTTTGATTTATTGTAGAACTCTTGACTCATAATATCATACATTGTGTGTTTTCTGAGAACATGACAACTTTTTAATCTTTTTTTTTTTCCATCATATGTATATGTAGGCCTAACTAATTAATTTATCTAACATGTTAAAGCGTGTGACAAAATCAGACAGAACATTTGATTTTCCAAAAGCTAGTTAGTGTTCTTCACATGTGCTTCCAATTACAGTTCATTTATGTCAGTGTTTATGTGCCTACGAAGAACACGCGGAAGGGGG